AAACTCTCCTGCAGGTATCCACAGCTGTTTGCTGCAGGGATGTTGTCTGGTGTGTTCACCACAGCCATCATGACTCCTGGGGAGCGCATCAAATGCCTCCTACAGGTCAGAGGTTATGTGTTTGTACAGACATTCAGGATTGAATCGCTGTCTTCTGTGCTGCTGAATAGTAGATTCCTAACATGCCAAAACAGAGCTGGCACTGTGTGTGTGTGTGTGTGTGTGTGTGTGTGTGTGTGTCTAGATTCAGGCATCAACAGGAGGGGTGAAGTACGCGGGACCCATGGACTGTGTGAAGCAGCTGTACCGAGAGTCTGGGATCAGAGGAATCTACAAAGGCACCGCTCTGACTCTCATGAGAGGTGCTTCTTTACTCTGATAGAGCCGAGACTTGACGGCACAAGTTGCTGTTAAGTTTTACTTTTACAGTGTGTAGATAATACAATGACACTGTGGAAAATCTTAAACTGCGGAGTTTTCCTGCAAACAAAGTTACTGTTAACATTGGAGCTGCAACGATTCTGAATGTCTTTTGGTTGTGGTTGTGGTTGTGGACAAAACAAGACATCTGACAATGTCATCTTGGGCTTTGGGGAACACTGATCAACATTTTTCAACATTTTATAGACCAAACAATTGATCGATTAATCAAGAAAATAATACAGATTAATCGACAATGAAAATAATCATTAGTTGCTGCCACTAAAACACTGTGTGTATGCATGAGGTGGAGAGAAGAGAGAGGAGAGAGATAGGCTGCTGTCCCAGGCTGGGCTTCCTGGCAGGGAGTTGAAGGTAGTTGAAGTAGTTGAAGACCAGGTATCGGTAACTTAATTTACTGATTCACTAAAATACCTTTCTGACATTAACCTGGGAACAACACACAAAGGAGCTAAGGACTAAATCCTGACAGCTCACAATACACAAACACTCTGAGCGCCTGAGGAGCAACACAGTTCTAACAAATTTTATCGGTTACACATTCACCTATGGGACGAAGTAACACTTTGTTGGTACGTTGTCTGTTTAAAGGTTTTGGGGAGTTACTACTTTGTGTGGAGGAAAAAAGTTGTATAAAGCCTTTTGTGGCTCCACAGGGATCTTCAAGAAGTCTGACGAATGACCTTGAGTCAGTGTCAGCTGGGGCTTAAGTTAGAAAGTGGCTCTGGAGGTAGAGCGGGTTGCCCTTTAATCGGAAGACTGGCGGTTCATTGGGCAGGATACTGAACCCTGAATAGCCCCTGGTGGCTGTTCCACCAGGGCATGAATGTGTGTGAATGGTGAGTGCGATGTAGTGTAAAAGTGCTTTGAGTGGTCGCAAAGACTAGAAAGGCGCTATACAAATACAGAGCATTTATATTTACAAATCTGGGGTTGTGGAGTTAGAAAGAAGTGAGTTCTGCAGCCGCTTTGTCTTGCGTCATGTTGTCATGATCTTTAAGAGTTTCCTTCTGACACATGCTGCTGCAGTTAAAGCACAAATTTAAGATTTAAGCGCTCACTTGTATTTCTTAGGTGCTTTGAAGACATACAGTACTAAGAAATTGTTGAAAAGTAAGAATGCTTTCAAAAATAGACATGTTAATAGATTATATTTATTATCAATTTACAAAATGCAAAGTGAGTAAACAAACAGCATCTTCTAGGTACACTTGCACAAAGTCAGGGGGTTTTGTATGCATATTGTCAGGAGTATGATTAAACAATTACACCAAACAGGTGCTAATGATCATACATTCAATATGTGGGTTGAAACACAATCATGAACTGAAACAGAACCAGTTGTGTGGGAGTAATACAACTGTGTGAGGGACAGCCAAACTTCAGCTAAGGTGAAGCTGCTGAAGACAGTTTACTGTCAAAAGTCAAACACCACAGCAAGACTGAGCACAGCAACAAGACACAAGGGAATAATACGGCATCAGCAAGTCTCTCCCAGGCAGACATCAAAGCAGACAGGGGTTTCCAGATGTGCTGTCAAAGCTCTATTAAAGAAACACAAAGGAACTGTCATTTTCCCACACCTGCCTAAAACCTTTGCACACTGCTGTATCTAACTGCTGGCTGCCAGACTGCTTAATTGATATCTTCAGATAGTTGACATGAAATGTATTCTATTGTCTCTGTTGATGTTCTTATTACCACTCATATATTCTGCCAGAAGAAGTAAAGTCAGTTATTTTTCAATTAAATGTAACTATTTTTCATATGTTATGGTGGAACATTTTGCATCTTTTTGTTTTGTTTGTTTTGTAACTCAGATGTTCCAGCAAGCGGGATGTACTTTACGTCCTACGAGTGGCTGAAGAACCTGCTCACTCCACCAGGAAAAAGGTGACTATTTGTTCCTTGTGTTTACAACTGTCTTGTTAATAACAAAAGACCTCTGAGCAGCCGGATTTGTTGTCTTTCCCCTGCAGCCACAGCGACCTCAGCGTTCCCAGTGTGCTGTTTGCTGGAGGGATGGCCGGGATCTTCAACTGGGCGGTCGCAATCCCAGCCGACGTACTTAAGTCTCGTTTCCAAACAGGTTTGTTTTTTTTAAATTCCACATTTTGTTGAGGCTAAGATATCCGTTTTCTTTTTCTTATTATTTGTAGTTTAAATTGTTAATTTATGAAAGTGCTGAGAGATATGGGTTGCTCTACTGTATTTTGGTTTTCACTACTACTACTATCATTACTAAATGTAGGATACTGAAAAAAGCCAGTTGGTGAAAATAACTTACTTTTACAAGCGTGTCTTTAAAAAAATTTGGCTGAGTTTTTCCTGTGTGTCCCTCAGCGCCTGAAGGAAAATATCCCAACGGTTTCCGGGACGTTCTGCGGGAGCTGATCAGGGAGGAGGGCGTGGCCTCTCTGTATAAGGGCTTCAATGCTGTCATGCTTAGAGCTTTTCCTGCAAATGCAGTGAGTACACTTCACTTATTCTTCAGTTCAGTAACGCTGTGAGAAGGGCCCAGAGGAGCTGGGTGGTACATTTCCACACGTGGTCATAAATGAGTCGTACGGAGTCTCAATTATTCCGATTTGATGATGTAAAATATGTTGCACAGTTTAATCAGGAATCATATTAATTAATACTTGCATGCAGTGCAATTTATTCTCATAAATAAGGTGAACAGGAAGACAAATTTCATTTAAACTGATGCCGTTTTCAGTGCATCAGTTGAGCAAATAAGAGCCAAACTTTTAACTCATCGGCAGCCTCGTTGATTATGTGGGCTGTTTGTATAGCCTAAGTAAATGTTTAAACACAAGTGGAATGCATTTGCTTAACTCTTTTTTTTAAAATTAGTACCTGGGTCATCCCATCTTGCATATCTGTGTCCCCCTCCACCTCCGTCACTACTCAGGAGGGATGCGCTGTCCTGCAGATCGGTTATACCACCATCTATAGGCGTTGGAAGGGTTGGACAAGGAGCTCGCTCACATACGCCACATTTCATGTTGATTGTGATTTATAAAGGCAAATCAGCGTAGGACGTGTGTGCGCACAGTTTTATAAATCAGAAGATTTTTGTGCGTACGCACTTCCTACGTGTTGTACATACTCAACCTTTAGGAGTCTTTTCTATGTACAGTTTTATAAATGAGACCCCTGGACTCTAACCCGTGGATTACAGCTACTGTTTTTGTCACAACATCCAATATTCTTGCACTCATACAAGTGAAGAGCTTTTGTTACAACAAAGGTTACAACAAATTAGGGAAAATGTTTGTCCAATTATCACAAGACTTGTGCTTGTCAGACAATATTTCATTGTGCATTTGGCCAATCACCAATAATTGATACCAATTTATCTTTTTTGTAGTGGACAGTACAGCTTAAACAGTTCATTAAACAGTCAGTCGATTGTCAGAAGATAAATTGCTGCGTTTTTGTCTTGTGTGATCGTAAGTGTAATGTTTTGGGTTTTAGATGGTGTTAGAACATCTGAGTTATTCCTTCCATCACTATTATCCACAAACTAAACAGTTTTGTTTCTCTTTTTCTCTCAGGCTTGTTTCTTAGGATTTGAGTGTGCAATGAAGTTCCTGAACTGGTTAGCACCGGACCTGTGATGAAGGCTCCACGTCGCCTCCTATGTGAATCCCAGGGACAGAACTCTTGAACACAACAGAGTTATTAGCAGTGCGCACACACTCACTCTGAATCAAACAATACCAACAGATGTGAACACTTTCCCAATAATATACTGGATTGTCTTTGAAACATTGTGGTAGAGCATGTGGATCTGAGGGTCCAAAGCCGAGATATTGCGATGACTCTGTAACAGTTCCAGTATAAACACACACACAGACAGACAGTCAAATGTTCTCACTCCCTTTTGTTTAAATTGTCTTTTTTTTTTATATAAGAAAAAGGGTGAACTGAACATGCTGTGCCTTACCTTTTGTTATCTGTGAGCCGGTGCGCATATCAGGGAAAAGGTGCATTTTGTTGTACTGTGTGTGTTCAGTCTCTCAGCAATACACACCTTTCAAACTGTCTGCTTCCTGTGTGGTCGCACTCAACTCAGTGACCGATAATAACTAGATTTTCTGTTTGTTTTAACGTGAAATAATGTGAGAAGTTATGAGATTCACTGACTGTATACGAATGTCAGCATGTATAGAAATAATTTTTAAAAAGCTGGATCCATAATTAGAAATTAGACTTGCCGTGCACAATTTCTCTTTTTATTTGAATTATTTGTGGAGTATTTTACAATATACATATAATGAAGTCAACTGTAACAAACACCTACAAGAAAAGATGATAATAATAAAACATATAACTAATCAAAAAATATTAGCAGTTATTAAACACCAGCAATTCTTTCCATCATAATAAATAATGTAAATGTAATCATCATTAGTAATGCTTTATGTTTTCTATTGTGTCACATAACATTACTTAAGTTACTAATTCTGTCTCGTTTCAGTTTTATATACGAGTTACTTTTTGTTTGTTGTAAACCCCTATAAAGTTTTAAGAGGGTTTTATTGTTTGAATTTAACAGCACGTGCCATTAGAAGAAGTCTTGTGCACCTCTTAAAAACATCTATGATGGTGTCTGATTCTGCAGCAGTTAAAAAAAGGTCTCTCTCTCTGCTGTTTCTTTGCCAAATCAACTTCTCATGTGTAATCCATCGGACAGCCTTTAATTACATCTGATGTGAAGTCCTGGTCAATACTTTCCAACAGGCCGTGCTAAATAAAGAAATCAATAAACTGCCGGGCGTTCGAGAGAGTGGGACGAGAGGAGGAGGAGTCACTTTGCTCCTGTGATGACAGTCCAGACACAAGTAGAGTTTTGATATTACACATCTAAATATTTGTTTAGTTTTGGTTTTGAGGTTAAGTGTGAACTATCAACATCCAAACCCGTGACCTCTGAACCTGCATGATGAGTGCTGTTGAGATACCGGCTGGTTTGAAAGAGCTGCTGCAGGGATACACAGTGGAGGTGCTTCGCCGCAGGCCGCCAGACTTGGTTGAATTTGCATTGCAGCATTTTACGCAAATTCTGGAGAGCCAAAAAAATGACCAAAGAGCCAAGAAACGCAGTGCCAGGCCGGCACGGAAAGGAGTGACCTTTGAAACAAAGTCAGATAAGCCCAACAAGGATGAAGAGGAGGAGGACGAAGATGCTGATCGTGAGTGTTAACTTATTACATTATTTTGTGTTTTTCTGCTCCAAATTTAGGCTACTCTAAATGAAAGCTGTAACTTTTATAAAGCTTCATAGTGCCAACACCACACAGAGTGAGCTGACATTTGCACGCTCCCAAAAGACATTTCATTGATGCAAACCTTTGGCCTGCAAGGTCAAAGTCAGGCCAACATCCATGTGAACAAAAAAGCGGGCTAGATGCTGCAGACAAAAAATACTAGCAGATCACATGATACAGAATAACACTAATTAACAAGACCAGTTCACTATGCATATAAAAAAAAACAAATGGAAAAATGTGCAGAGACATCAAATGAACTGTAACAATAACATATGAGGAGCTTCTTTATGCTTTAATAGACTTGTGAAAACTGATCTCTCTCTCTCTCTCTGCAGAGTCCACCACTAGTAAATACAACCGCAGAGTTTCAGGTCAGTAACTGGATCAACATGTGTAATGAATATTAATTCCATTTGACCCGCGGTACAGTATTATTATTTATTTGTCCTGCTGCAGTTTGTGCAGAGGCTTACAACCCTGATGATGATGAGGACGATGATTCAGAGCCTCGGGTCGTATATCCCAAAACAGACGAGCAGCGCCGCAGACTTCAGGATGCGTGCAGAGACATTTTACTGTTTAAAACACTGGAGCAGGTACAACAGTGCAAATGGTTGTCCTTTTTTGGTCGAAATTTGAATATAAATTTTAGGTTTTACATACACAGACAGGCGGGCACCTAATGTGAGTGTAGTATACAAAAAGTATATCAGGCCAAAACCCATCACTCCTGTTCTTAGATCTTTACACTGAAGCCAGTGTCAAAGCACTGAGTATAACGTTTTTGATTTACATTGTACGGAATGCTTTGGGGCTAAAATACAGTCCAGATATGCTGCTCTGCATACTGTAGCCTACTGTGCAGTTGCAGCATTTGATTTTTATGCTCCACATATCTGGAACAAACTCCTTAAAAACATAAGGTCCACACCAGCTCTCAGTTCTTTAAAATAGAGGCTTAAGACTTTTCTGTTTGACAGTGCATTTTATTAAATTGAATTTAATATTTATTCGTTTACACTACATTGTGTTTCTCTTACATCTTGTCTTAACGCCTTGTTATGTTTTATGTAAAGCACTTTGAATTGTTATTGAAAGGTGCTACACTGATAACCTTACCTCACCTAATGTCCTCCAGGAGCAGTTCTCTGAGGTTCTGGACGCCATGTTCGAGGTGTTGGTCAAACCTCAGGAACACATCATAGACCAAGGAGATGATGGAGACAACTTCTACGTCATAGAGAAGTCAGGGGTGGATTTCATATTATTTAGTTTCTGATGTTTAAACTAGGTGACACTGTATCAGTCTCATAATGACGTGTTCTCCCTGTCCATATGTTGTATTATTTCCAGGGGTGTGTATGATATTTTTGTGCAGAAGGACGGAGCAAGCGTGTGTGTTGGAAAGTATGACAATAAGGGTAGTTTTGGTGAGCTGGCTCTCATGTACAACACGCCGCGAGCTGCCACAATTGTTGCAACACAGGACGGCGCCCTGTGGGGCCTGGTGAGTCCGACAGAGGATGATGATCTTCAGTGCTTCACTGCAGAGTACAGTGTATGAATGTGTTGCTAAATGGTTAAATCCCCCACCTTGTAATGTTACTGCAAGTAAAACTATGGATGAATCTATGAACTTCTGCACATCTCAGCTGAAATAAAATCAAAGGTGGAACTGAAGCTACGATGAACTACATTTTTTGGTTTGGTGCTCTTCCAGGATCGAGCCACATTTCACAGGCTGATTGTTAAAAATAATGCGAAGATGAGGAGGATGTATGAGGCCTTCATCGAGTGTGTTCCACTTCTGAAGTCTCTGGAGGTTCGTGATAGAAAACACAAACTCTACACAAACTAATGGTAGAATAGGTGGACATTTAGTCCCCTTATACTTCATGTATTTGATGTGTCATCATGCTTCACTGTCTTTTCACAAGCTCTCTGAGAGAATGAAGATTGTGGATGTTTTGGGAGCCCGAGCGTTCAAAGACGGAGAGTGCATAATTACACAGGTACAGTGTTTCTTTGGCTGCCTTTTTATTATTCAGTAACAGGTTGGACTTAATAAATGTGGCATTTCTGCTGCATCCTGTGCTTGCAGGGGGAGGAGGCCGACTGTTTCTACATTGTGGAATTGGGAGAGGTGAAGATAATGATAAAAAGCAAAGTAAGTAGTGTCCATTATTGTAATTGAATCTATTTTAGTTCATGAACCTATTTAATTTCTTAAAGTAAAAGTGTATTATTACACGCCTCTGGAGCAACTAGAGGTTAAGTGTCATGCTCAGGGACACACTGGTGGATGTGTCACAGTATATATATATATTTTTTTTTTATGTCTGGTGATGTTCAAGAGGTTGTATTATGCTCATTTCAGGTTCATCATTTTATTAACAGGTTTACATAGTTTCATTTTCAACATACACCATATTTTTGTCATACTGCTCATTGCTGCAGCCCCTCTTTTCACCCTGTGTGTTGAACGCTTCGTTTTAGCTATGGAGTGATACATCTTACTTTAACAAGTTCTTTGTTAGGAGTTGCACATGTGCCGTTTTGAGTTAAGGACTACTAGCCAATCAGTAGCAGAGTAGGGCGGGTTGTGAGAAGCCGGTAAACACTGCTTCGGTTCAGCTGTATATCCTCCTACCAGCTTAGCAACATGGACTGGAGCAAGAGTTTCAGAGTGGTGAGTTATTAATCAGTAACAAATGTATCTTTCATCCATAAAGTAAACTGAGCTCTGTCTCTACATCACAGTAACAACTTTATGTCTATTGAATGCCTGGGGAGTAGCTAGTGTTTGGAAGGGAGAGGAGAGGCAGCAAGCAGACGTCTTGTCACAGTGTGCAGCAGCTCAGAGTGTTTTACTACCGGTGTTTTTGAGGGCGTGTCTGATTAGCCAAGCTCTTTTCAGGCAGTTCAGAGCAGTGTTTTCTGTGGGAGATGGGAACTTCCTTTGGGCTGGACTTTGGGCTTTTACATGCACAAAAAATATATATATAACTCAATAAAGGAGAGGGAAAAGGCCAAAAAGCATAATACCACCTCTTTAATTTACGACGACTGCAGGACTCGCACGCTTTTTTGTGTCCGTTACAGACGAAGGCCGGCCAGCAGGATAACACAGAGGTTGAGGTGGCTCGTTGCTCCAGAGGGCAGTATTTTGGAGAGCTGGCGCTGGTCACCAACAAACCTCGTGCAGCATCAGTTTATGCTGTGGGAGAAACCAAATGTTTAGGTATGTCAAATACACCAGTGTTTGTGTTTCTTTGTTCCAGGACTAACAGCACATTCACTCTCAGTGAAAGATACTGGCTGCATGCTGGACTCTGGTTGGGCTGGTGAGCAGCAGGCATACAGGGGATGTAAACACAGTAACTCACAGGTTGTGGCCGTTTTATCAGGTGCTCCAATCTGTCAACAACACTAACAACTAGCCATACCCAACCCTCCAACCTCATCGGACAAGGGCTCCCCCTCATCACAAATTATTAAGAATTATTAAGACATAATCAGTATTAGGCAGGTAGAGAAGTGTAATTGAAGAAGCAAGTCTTGGCTACGCCTACTCCGATCCACGGGCTTAAACAAACTTCACAAGATGTCCCACAGTGTATGCTTCACAAGATGTCCCACAGTGTATGAAGTTGATACACAAAGGGAATTAATGGTGCCTCTTTAAAAACCTGATGATTTTATTGATTTCCAATTTCAAAGACTCAAGCTGTACAGTTTGTAGAGGATTACAGAGTTTAAGTGTTAATAGAGACAGTTTGGACAAATCGAGACAATTAATCTGGATTCCTGCTGTTTCACTGTGCTTACAATTAAATTATATCTAGAGATGGACACAAATACATCAAAAAGTATCTTAAGTAATTAAGGGATTTAGTAGCTTCAAAGTCTGACCTCAATCCACCTACATTGAAAAGATGAGCTCTGCTAATTTCCAACTTCATAGTTGTGAAGTGGCCAATTGGGATATGTTAGAGTTGGTAGGCTGCGAATTCAGGGGTGCGTGCGGGGTGGTTTCTAGCTAGTATTTGTGTGTGTGCAGTATCTGCATTTGCATCAAACACCACAGCAGCTTCTTTCCTCCAGCTACTGTTCATGAGGAACAAAAAATAAATATGGTATTTGTCAACGAGCCTGTTGCTGGACCTGACGGGACATGCCAGGTGATTCACTTGCATTAATCCAAAGACTGTGGGCTTATTGTTGTACTGTTTAAACCTGGGGATAAAATGGGTCTTATTTGAGAATAAAATGACATCTTAAAGTATTTTGTTAAAGCTACATCGGATTTCTTTCTGCCCAGCAAAATACAAATTACAAAATACTAGTAATTAAATAGGTATTTTAAATACATTTAATTTAAATACTCCCCATCTCTGATTATATTGACTAATAGTTTGTTTTCCTTTTAACCTTCTGTTTAACATCATATTGATCCTCTTCAACAAATGTTTCTATATTAAAACATGACCTGTGTGCTGTTAGTAGTGGACCCTAATTATGGCAGGACGTAAAAGACACGACCAAAAATTATTTGTACACCAAGCGTTACTGTTCTGGAAACTGCATACTGCGTCTGGTGGACCGGAAAGCAAAAACTTGCAATGGGATGATGTAATCTTAATTCACTTTCCATTTCTTTCAGTAATTGACATCCAGGCTTTTGAGCGTTTGCTGGGACCCTGTATGGACATCATGAAGAGGAACATTTCCCAGTATGAAGACCAGCTGGTGGCACTGTTTGGCTCCAGTCTGGATTTAAAACACTAGGGCCTATAATTTCAAAATAAAGTAATACATAAGCCAAACATAGTGATAGTGCATGTAACGCATGATTACCTTCCCCTTGAATATTCAGTCTTGTTATGTTCCTTGTAACGAGTTATGAATGTTTAGGTTGTGAATAGGATAAATACTGTATGTTTCTTGTGTGATAATTACCCGGAGTAAATCTAGACTGCAGAAAAGTCTGTGCTTAAATATACCTCATTGGATAAGTCAGTTTACAGCCGGTGAGCTTCAGTTAATCTGCTGACAGTACAGTACCGAGCGGACCATCATACTGAACCTACCGAGTACCCACTACTCATGCTCAAACCCCATTGGCTCACAGAACTGGAGCCTTAGGAGGGAGGGGTTTTTGAGGTTCTCCTGACTTTCCTGAGTTGGAAATCCTACTTAAGACTACACTATAAACTCTTTAGGGAAGTGTTTACTGAGGCAATAAATCAAGTGGGAAATAGGGCCATCTTGTCATTGACTCCAGTGCAATCAGGCTTCTTTTTGCAACCAGTGGAGTCGCCCCCTGCTGGCCATAAGAAAGAATGCAGGATTAAGGCACTTCCACATTGGCTTCATTTTAAAACCTGGAGGTCCCCACTTTATCGACCACAAGTCCATGACCGACTCCTTTTATACAGCTACTGATTTATCATTTCATGTGTTGTTCCTTGTCTACTGTATATAGGTGTGATCTTTTGACATGTGACAGTAGGAAAAGCACAGGTATAAATAATAAAGTTAACGATGGCTGAATTTTTTTAGCTGCTTCAGTTTCAGTGTCCTGGTATTGTGCATACTGACTCACGGTCATGGCTCACTGGGCCACTTAAACAGAACAGAGCCGTCATTCATACTGTGATGTGCTTTTCTTACTATGACAAAATAAAATGGCTGCTTTTCTGAATTATCACAATCATTAAGTGACAGTTTTTCCATCCGAAGAGTAGGCCTACTCCACCGATTTAGCATTACTGTTACACTGTCAGACTCATAAAACCGGTTTAAAAAAATACACATCACAATTGATGCAGCAAAACCTGCTGCGATTCATTAGTCATTCAAACAAGCTCCCCGAGCGTCATTAGTGTCGCTCCATTTGTCTGAAAAACTGAAGTGAACTTGGTGAGATCGACTTTCGGAGGTCACATCACCCACAATGCTTTGCAGTTATGCATTTAGTGCAAGCAAATATATCCATGTTCAGGTGCTAGTAATGTAGTAGGCTCCATATAACTCCAGTTGCCTAGTTACCAGATAGTTTTATTAAGAAAATCTCATTGATGGCTGGATATTTCACTGAAAAATGTCATAACTAACTGCACTTGAATTGTTGCGCTGTTCAGCTTGTGATTCCTTTATTGCCAACATCATCTGTTAACCCATAGAATAGTTGCTGTTTTGGAAGATATTAACTCGTTGCAACAATATTTATGATAATCATAATACAAATCACAGACAGACATTTCTGATGCAACTAATTACAAAGTGTCGATGTATTGCAATTATTATTTTGATTTCCAATGATTTGTGAAAAGCAGTACAGCACTAAGCCTACAACTGGCGGTCGACCCATGAGAGTTTGGACTGAAAGTGTACAAGGACATGCGCTTCCCATTTAAATGCGCCGTTCACTTCCCTTCTGCTGCGACGTATGCCATTTTGTAATACCAAGGGCTGAGGAACTACTAATGAAACACAGCTGTTTTCTTTTAATTGCATGCATTCTTCTTCCTTGTCAAACCTTGCTGCCTACATTCCCCACAATGCAACTCGACCGCTGATAGCTCAGTTGGAGAAATAGATGTGGTATGCTAATAGAGGATGAGAAGCAGGCTACATAAGTCTGGAAACATTACCTTTTTAAAGATTTTTTTGTTCATTTTCTAACTTGTGCTCTTTCCACCCAACAGTTATCACACTTCTTGTAGGTCCCCCTGAAGCTGTATACAATTTATATATGTTAATTTATATATGCAGTTGTAACTCCCAAACTTAAAGCAGTCGTTTTTTTTAGAGTTTGCTGAAATGCTAGAATTGCATCAAGGTGTCATAAGTTTTAGTCCAAATTCAAACACGAACTGAACAGGCAGACTTTTTACAGTTGCTTTCATAAAAGGTACAATGGTAGTACAGCTGAGGTCTCTTTAGTTTGCAAATTATATGTAAATGATTTATAACCGGCATGCACACAATGTTAATTTGCTGTTTTTGTGCTGCTCAATCACCACGTGATTACTGAATAATGCAAAGTGCTGTACCATTTTCCATTTGACCTCAGCAAAAAAAAGGCAAATATTATATAATAAGCAAATGTTAACACCCCTGTCTGTTGTATGGTATGAAACTCAAGTAACCTTGTTTTTAATAAATGGCATGTCTTCAGTGTTAAAGTGAATGAAAATTCTTGGCAAATAACACCTTAAATGGCAAAATAAAGGATTATGTCTTATATATTCAAGTTTTCTGGAGTTTGTTTTATTTGAGATACAAAATATGAAGTGCCATCAGCAGACTCCACATGAGAGTCTGCCAACTTTCTTGTGTTACAAGTATTTACATCCAAAGAAAATCAAGGATAGCCATCTAAATTTCCACACTCTGCGTTCTGGTATGTCCCAGCGTTCAAGTCTCTGTCAAGTTGTCCAAGTTCCATTTTGAAAGTTTAAATATTTAAAATATTTACAAAGTCCTGTATTCAAAACCCCCCAAATCATACTGTAGCTTGTTCAACGCAAAGGCAGGTTTCAGAGGTGTAACTGCTTCAGTAGTTTGAGAAAATGAGCAGAGCTGGTGGAATTAATGGAGCTGTTAAACGAAAGTGGTCCTCTACAGGGTCTCCATAGTTTTACAAGTTAATTCTTCCTCTTCTAAAGAAAGCCTGGAAGAGGAAGTCTGTACATAATCATTTAAAATTATAAAATGTCTTTTTAGCCATTGTGGTACAACAGCTTCAATGATCCTCTGTTGTGAAGAAATGCAATTGACGATCAATAAAAGACAGATGAAAGAAAAAGGCCACCCAGATAGTCACTCACTTGTTCATCAAATATCCTGATTTTTTTTCTTCAGAGCATCTCCGAACATTAAAATAAAACTCCAATAAATAGAAATACAGCAGAAATGGTCAAATAAGACTGATTCTGGTTTGGTCCATCCCTGAGTTCTTTTGAGAAGGACAAAAATACCAGAGTGACAGACAAAAAAAAAAAAAAAAAAGACTGCTGGAGAGAAAAAAAAAAAAAAAGGTACAATCCTACACATTCCCACATTTCCCCATGTCTGGGGGAAAAAAACAAACTAATTCTCATATTCCTCTGGTTTCCTGAGGCTCATCAGCAAGAACATCCATCAATGGGAGGACAGTTCCCAGCAGTGACGGTTACACAGAGGTGATGACAATCATGAGGTGTGGTGAGATGCTGGAGATCCTGTTAAGAAGGTCGGGGGCGAGCTGGGATAAATGGCTCTCTGAAAATTCGCATGGTGGGAAAATCTGTAGCACGTAGGCAGGCTGGGGAAAGAAATACAAAAACATCAATTAGACATTTGAAGTTACAGAGAACCATAAAGAAAGATTCCCAGTCAAACCAGGCTTATGTAAGAAAGTCTCCCTCCAGGCCCTGGTGAGCATAGTTTCCAGGTTTAGCTTCACCTCAGGCTGAACCACTGTTACAAGTTCCTCCCTGAATGTTTCCCCATTTACTGCTACAATTTAAAATTCACTCTGTTTAAAGTTCATGTCTAATTTATTGCAACTTGACATGAACTCCCACTTATTATGCACTTAAAATGTGAGGTCAGATCTTTTTCAGTCTTTCGTATTTTAGTATAATTTGTCATTTTAAATACACTGAAATTAAAATAAAGCTATTATCACATTTCACCATCTGTTCTCTCTTTAAATGTCACAGTGGAATATTATACACACACGTACATATATACATATACACACATAAAAATAAACATTTAGAAATATCATCTCTCACCTGATTGGAACCTGGGTTGGGGATATTGATGATACCAGCAGCCAACTTTGTCTGCAAGTAGTTTATGAAAGCGGCCTTAAGAGCTTGAGTCTGGTTTAGGACATCGTCCTGATCTCGTCCACATGGCAGAGCAAGGAGAAGACAGAAGTCACTGTCCCCCTGTAGAAGGGAAAAAAGGTTAACAGTTGTTAATAGACTATATTCAATGAAGCAGAAAGATTATTCTAAAGATTATTTTGTATTAATATGACAAATAATTTCCCCAAAATAGATATCCAAAACTTGTCTTAATATTTCAATTATTTATTCAATCACCACCCTGAAAAGAGACAAAGCATATTAGAATAATAACAAAATACCATAAAACTTTGATTAATAGCCCGGGCTTTTATTTGCTAAAATCACTGAATTGACCCTGCCTATATCTGTAAATGCTCCGTACTTGTATAGCGCCTTTCTAGTCTTTTCGACTACTCAAAGCGCTTTTACACTACACACACATTCATACACTGAGCCTAAGTGCTCAAACGGAAACTAACATTCACACACACTCATACACTGGCGGAATAGCCGCCAGGGGCAATTCGGGGTTCAGTATCTTGCCCAAGGACACTTCGACACGCAACCAGGGGGAGCCAGGGATTGAACTGCCGACCACAGCCGCCCAGCTGGCACAGGCCTTTAATTCCTTTTGCACAACTACTATGAAACTGTTTATTTTAAACAGAATAATACAATCATTAATTTGATCTAGCTCCGACAGACGGCTTATGCGCTGTTATTTTGAAGTAACATCACAACAACAACATGGTGCAGGATGAGAGAAGTTAGCAGACAGAGCGATGGACTTCACATGACAGGATTCACAACTTTTATAAATTTTTATGGAAAGCCGTTTCGATTCTTTTGATCAGTGGACCCTTACAGACACATTTGGGCTTAACGAGCGGACTTAACGAGCGCTTCAAAAAGGTAACAGCAGTTATCACTTTTTTCTTATACCAGGCAGGTTACACCGGTAATACTATAAGAATTAGACTTTGGGGCTTGTTTCCCTTAAATGAACTGAACTATTGAATTGTGGAGAATCTAACCGATCTAACGATGAGTAGCATGTCCATACTGACATACTGATCTTATGTTTAAACATTAATATTTGTATACCGATCTAAGAAGCTTAGAAGCAGCTAAAGCCAGCGACCATGCAGGGTTTAAGAGGTTTTATACAGCCAAAGAACTTCTATAAAAACTAGACCAGGCGTTAAATTGAGGCAGCGTATATTTGTCAAAATGTGTTCCCACACCAGGCCAGTAAATGGGCTAGGCGGCTATTTAGGGCTCCGCTATTGAAGTTTTACGATATCTTAAAATTTGTCTAATTTCCTAGTCACTGCTGTATTACAATTTGTGGGTGATCAGATAGTGCTTTACCCTGAACTGAATCTATCCGTTTGTGAATGTGAACTCGTGCATTGCTGAGTTAAACTCAATATAAAACTACTAAAATAACAGAAAGGAGTAACACACAATGAAGAAAGGTAGTGCAAGCAAACAATGTCAGGTGGAACTTGGGAATCACTTTCTGGCTGAGCACATTGTTGGGTATCTATCTAAAATACTCCCAGACTTTAGCTTATCGTACTCATGGGCGAGTTTTTTTTTTTGCTGCAGCTGGTTCTCTGGGCAATCCCTGCTTAGACCGGACTTCACACTTCATTGCGATGCACAGACACATGTTTCAGAAATCAATGTATTTCTGTAATCAATGACTTTGATTAGATCGACGAATCGCCCCAGCCCTAAAGAAAAAAAGACATACTGTCATTCTTCGGGCCACACTCTCCAGTTGTGAAGCCTCTAGTCTCATTCTCTGGACAATCCTCAGCAATGCGCCTCCTTCTTGTAGGGGCAGTGATCG